AGAGCCCCAGAGCAAAAAGCCAAAAATGCTGCTACGGTGACAGGGTTCGGTGTGCCCGAGAAAGCTAGACCCAAAACCCAAATTTGAGGGCAGCATGCTTTCAAAGTAAAGACTGAAACAGTTCTACATGAGGACATAGGCCGAAAAGCGAGACCTGGAAACTTCCAAGGACTGCTGATTGTAGAGAAATCTGTCCGCAAAAATGCAGAGACCGACTTACCGCCTATGCGCAAGTATCCTTGTGGTCGTTCAGGCTGGGTCAGCAACCAGAAGTCTGACCCTGCTACGACGGGACCCAACCTAAAAGAGGCCCTCCTCAATGGATTGGGTGTCTTTTAGGTAGGAGTTGATAAGACGTTCGCGTTCCCCGGAAGCCTGCCCTCAAAAAATGTTGGAGGGGGGCGTCTGTCGCTAGCACTAGTGAGTTAGCAATCGCACAGACCTCATGCGCTTCGTACTTGGTGTCTCTGCAAGCTCTGTGTCGAGAAAGTTAAAGTATTATATACCTCTGATACAGTGGCAGTAATCTATCTGCCGATGGAAGCCGGGGAGACCGGCCTATCCAGCCTGCCTGGGCCGTAAACAAAGACATGTGCTTGGCACCCATCTTGATTCCTCAGTACGGTTTTGGTAGCAACTCAGTACACAAACCGGGTAGAGAAGCAATTCCTCCTTGACCCTCAGGGGGATGGCAATCGGGTGAGGATCATGTCCTGGGATTTGGTTCTTAGCGAGAAACCCGATTCGTGTCTTTAGCACAACTTGATTGTCCCTAAAGGCGGTACATCGTCCGAGATGGACAATGCCCCCAGTTCTGACCGACGCCTACCTGAGGCGAGAACCAGTAAGAAGACTATTTTTCACGTAAAAAATTTGAGTAGTGTGATCGGAGAGGCTCAAAGGGCAGTCTGCTTAGAGCGGACAACGCAACCGACAAATCCCAAGTTGGGCGGTTCCCTTGTACGGGGTCTCAGCCTCTGATATGGAAAGCAGTAAATAGTCTCCTAATAATAGGACAATCGGCAAGTCTTGTTCCCAAAGCGTTCTCAATGGTGGGGGACAAGGCCGACCTGTAGCCAACAATTGATGCGAAGGACAAGCCCACTTTGTCAAACAGGTGGAGGAAGGAGTCTGCTACCTGGCCAATAGAGGGATGGTATGGATCAATCTCCCTTCCGCTACACCAATCAGTGTATGCTTACCACCTAGAATTGTAGGCAGTGTTGGTGGAATCCCTGTTGGCAGCCACCTCAGATAAACCTTTCATCTGTGCGAATCTACTGAGAGCCTCTATGCGTGTAAGTGATACACGTTGGTTGGCTCGTTGGTAGTGTGCTGTCCGGTTGGGACGGCAGGTCCAGTAAGTCTGGAAGCACTGCTGGTGTTTCGACTAACATTTCTAACAGAAGTGGAAACTAGGCTTTGGTTGGCCAATTTGGTGCGACCAATGACAATATGCAGGTGAGCAACAAGCTTGAAATAGCTATACCAAGCCTACCTCTGTGTCAAACTCCATGCCCAGGAACACCAACTGTTGCGTTGGGTAGGGATGGGACTTGGCTGATTTACTAAAGAGCCCAACTGGTGAAGTAAATCTTGTGTTAGCCTTACTTGCTCGGCTAATAACCCCTTGTTAGAGTTATGTAATAACCAGTCGTCTAGGTACGGATTGATGTGTACCGACGTTTGGTGGAGCAGCAGCACCACCTGTTCCATCCATTTAGAAGGCTGTGCATAACCCGAAAGGGGACACTCGAGATTCGACTACTTGGCCCAGCTGGGTGATTCGAAGAAGATGGCAACTCGCCGGGTGCATCGGTATGTGCAGGTAGGCCCCGCTTAAGTCTAGTCTGAGGCTAGCAAGTTGAAACGGTGGATGGAGAGAAGAACGCTGAATGGAGTCTCCATGCCGACCGATCAAGGAGCATGTACTGATTCAGTCTGCCTCGGTCCAGAACTGGATGCCCGCCACCTGTAGATTTGGTACTATGAACACATTTGAGTATAAGCCTGGACTTAACGCCGGCTGATCTACCTTGTGTATGGTGCCTTTTTTCAGCAACTGTCTACTTCCTGTCTGATTGCTTCCGCCTTGCGGGAGTCCCCTGGCAGTAAACTGATGGGGAAGATGGAGATTTCAGCGGTATCCTGTAACCATATGTCACCACCTGGAAAATCCAGGGATCAGTCACCCGCTGCCTCCAAACCGGACTATACCAGTGCAATCTGTGTGCGACAGGGATATGTGGCCATGGGTTGGCAGTTGCAAGGTGTGGGTGCTCTCTTCTCCCATGAGGTGAGTTTCTCCAAGGCCTGCGGTAGTCACGAAGTTGTGACCTGGCCACTCACCGAACACATGCCTGCTCCCCCGGTCGCAGAGGTAAGCATCAAGCGTCAGAGCCACCACCTGGTCACTTCTTTCTTGGGGGCGCGCCGCTACTCTTCCCTTCCGTGGAAGGGTATGAGCGCTTGCATAAGATTTACGGATGGAAGACTCCGAGGAGCCGCCCGAGGTACCGGTTGTATCCAACGCTAGCGAACTGTCTCCTTTCACTTAAATATGCGAGCGAGAGCGTGTTTAACTGTGCGTTTTATGACAGGGTCGGTTCCCTCTGGGGACGCCCGTGGGTTGTTAAGAAGGGAGTCAAAACCCACAGTGGAGCCCGGACTCAAGTGTAAATTCCTGGCTGGCTGAAAGTAGGGGGAATCGCAACGTGTGCCCTGACCCGAAAGCCCTGTCCTGAAATCAAAGGCTTGGCTGCCAGCATCCCTGCTGGCATTCAGTGCCCGAGGTCTCAGAGGAGACCCGGTGCAACTTGCCTGAGCCTCGGCCTCACCCAAATCAGCGGAAGAGTCGCAGCTGGGAACGGGGGGTCCCCGGAAGAGACATGTTTTGAATGCGAGCGATGCTTTTGTGTTTCTTCCTGCTTGCCGACTGAGGGACCGCAGTGGAGACAGCTCGCTTCGACTGCATCTGATCTACCCGAGCTGCCAGGGACGCAATTTGCCCTCATCTCGGAGGCAAACTCGGCACCGTGCGAGGACAAATCCACAAAGATACATGCAACGGGCCCCATAGAAGGAAAGACCTCCAGGGGCACAGCTGTAGCCGGTAAAATCAGGTAAACCATCACCTGAAAACACAGACTGTGAGGATACCCTCAAATCAGCGGGGGAGACCGAGAAATATCTGTACATCCACCATCGGGCCTCCTACTCGACACTCATGTGACACACATACAAAGTAGAGCCCGTTTATTTTTGTGATTTCTTCCTTTATTCTGCCCATGACATTCATTATTCATTTCTATCACAAAAATGATGATCAGCCATCTTAAATCAGATTCTAAAACAGATGCATGTGCAAATGTGTTACATGATGTATGTGTGAAGAAACATTATCAGTCATGTCATGTTAGCAATATGGCTTAAAAAACGGCATTCAGTAAAAACAACTTCACCAAACAAATCTGGAAAAAAAATGATGTACATCAAGTATACCAAGTTTGAATGTCCATGAACGGCCGAGATCCAGCTTCAGAATGACAGGCATACATGATTTAAGTAAATGTTAGCACTAAAAATGACCACAATTTAGGCATATAATGTGCTTAAGTATGATAGGATGTCAGCTTTGAATGTGATCAATCAATTAGTTGGCCATTTTCAATCCAATATAAATATATATAAAAATGATTGACAGAGATCCGGTTCTGGAATGGCAGAAACAATCGGTTTTGATGAATTTTTAGCACTAAAATGGCTGCCATCTTGAATAGGATCATAAAAAATTGTATATATACTTAATATGATATGTGATGTCTGTGTAAAGTTTGAATGTTATCTGTCAAACCATGTCTGAGATACAGGCACAGATGGGTGCACGGAAGTAAAATTATAAGTCCCTCAGAAATTACTTTGAACAAAATCAGTCAACGCATTTCTGAGAAATAATTATGTACACATGAAAATATAACCAACATGACCACCAATTCGCCATTTTGTGTCAAACCACAAAAAAATTAACATGCATCAGTTAGTGATCATGTGTAAATGCTCATACTATGTTGAAAAAAAATCAGCCAAGGCATATCTGAGAAACAGTTGATATGCTAAAATTTGTTATATTGTTATTTAATTTTTATGAAAAAAAAACAATTGTAAAAAAAAAAAAATGGTCACCAATCTTTTTGAACCAGATAAGTCAGACACAGGTCACTCGAAAAAGAACAAAAGAGTCTCCCATTATATGACTTGCCTTCGTGCCAAATTTGAACAAAATCAGTTCAGGCATATCCAAGAAATTATGTTGGACAGACATACAAGGACTAAGAAGCATAAAATATTCAATATAATAATGAAAAGCATTCTTGTGCAGTGACTTTAAAAAGAAATGAAAGACTTACATGTGACTTCTATGTAAAATAAAAAATATATATATTATTAATAAAAAAATATATATTTATAATCGCATTTGTTTACAATTATTACCGGGTATAAAAAAAAAGATAAATTGCATTAAAAGAGAATGACCAAACAAACTTTAATATGCAAAGCTGAATGAAAAGTTGCAAATTTGAGAAGCCATTACCCACAATACATTTTTATCGAAACTTTGGTTTTCAATAGTGACAAATACAACAATTCTTTAGAGTACCGGTATGCATCATTGATGACCACACCCATCTATGAGTACCAATAATCATGCCAATGTGCTCAATTACCATAGCTATTAGAAGTACCTTAAACACAAGTCTAACTTCTGCATCTCATTTACATGCCAACCATTCCTACTTTTCTCAGAAGAGAACCAAAATCAAAATCAGAAAGTTGCATTAATTATGCACACACTCACATACAGCGTTGATGTCGATGCCCGATTGATATTTTTGTTTACATCACCATTTTGAGTATGACACTGGTAAAGAATGATGATTTTAAAAATTCAAATCCCAAACCATGGCGGCATTTAACTGAAAACCTTGAAATATACAAACACCTACCTACCACAACCCTAACCCTAATTTCTCCCCAGAAAGTGTATAATAATAAACTATTGCCCTCCTGACTTGCACAATTAAAAATGTTGTTCCTATGACAGGACTATTACACACCCTTTATACTACACCAATTCCGCACATTACATTACATATTATTATACATCTGTCACCATAACGCCATAAGTTACAGCATGCCATAATTTTGCGGGAAATGTGAATTTCAAATATGGAATGATTACGCACGTAAGCGTCCTCTAATAATAAAAACAAACATGGCTGCCATCAGGGTATGACCAGATTCCACACAAAGAAGTTCACTGATTCTGTTTTAAACTTTTTGGATTTCGGCATTCTCATGATGTATCCTTGGAAGGAAAAGATGTATAATAATAAGGTTATTACGAGAATACCTCAAAGTATGCACTCAGACAGGAACCAGCGCATCGACCTCCGCTGCGCATCGATCGATACTACCACTGTACTGTCTTTGTGCATACTTTAAGGTATCCTTGTAATAACCTCATATTCATGCATAAACTAACTACATGGCATAAGAAGGTTACCTTTCCAGCAGTGTTGGAGCTGATATCAATCCATGTCTCAGCAGAGTTTAACCAAAACAAACCAAGTGATCTTTTGGTACTGAAAAAAAAATATGATTTCGTATTTTAAAGACGTATAATGGAAAAGGAATTTCATATATAAGTTATTATTTGTGCACTATCGTACATGGTATGGATCCATATGAAGATGTTGGAATGTGAAGGTAAGTCATATGGATCCATATAAAGATGTTGGAATGTGAAGGTAAGTCACATATAAACAAAGTACTTACTTATGTGCTATCATATATGGTATAGATCCATATAAAGCCATTGGGTTGTGCAGCTCATATTCAAATACATCTAAATTATATAAACGATAGGGATCAGTATCTCTGTAAAACAAATGGAAAAACATTAATCCTTCGGGATTGTGGCAATAGAATCAAGGAATCTTTTCGTTAGCATTATTGATTTGCACAAACTATCTCAGTGCACATAAACCTGTGTTGATTGAAAAAGAGAACAGACATCACAATGCAATGTCAAAATCTGTATACCAAGTCCAAAACAGTGACTGCAATCGTGTAACATTGACATGCAGTAGCAGACAAGTGTACTCACGTAGTTGTCTTGAGTGCGAAAGTGTCAGCATGTTCTGGAATTCCGTAAACATGATCAAATCCAACAAAGGAGAAGTCCAGGCTGATAGACTCCGGACCTGTGTATGAATCAATTCATTATTACCAAATGATGATAAAATTATATTAATAAACTGATTAAAGCAATTGATTGCTAGTTGCAATTATCTTTTTACCATTTGGTTTGGAATCGTGATGAGTTTTGAATTTCTCCTCCCATAAATCAGATTCTTCTCGAGGTATTGGCGGTTTATTTTTTAATTGTTTATCTTCTTCCTCTTTTTTCTTCAATAGTTCTTCCTCATTATCATCATTATCAACATTTTCCTCTTCATCATGTTCTTCATCCTCCTCATTTTTTTCTTCTACCTGAGTTTCGTCCCTGTAAGGATAAACCAAAATACAAGTTTTGCAAATAAAATGTTAGAAAGTTATGATACATGTGATTTAGGGTTTGATTAAGGTTGATAGTTTGGGCTGTCATCATCTTCATTACGATAAAATTAACAATGTACCCTGTAATTTAATTGAGATGGAGTGTGACAGTTAACTGCTATTGACCTCATGGAAATTTTAAGGATTACTTAAGGTAAGGTGGCACATGAATGTTTTAAATTAGTGGTATCTGACTACTGAACACTGGCATCATATAAGTTGTTGTATCGGATTTATTTCATCCCACCAAAATAATTTAACTCCTACCCTGAATGAGTGAGAAACACCCTGAATGGGAATGCTAAGTCCTCTGGCAAAGATTTATTTACTAACATGTGCAATTTTAGAGGGAACCTTGGTTTAGGTCCACAGGTGATTGTGTTCGTCCAAGCCTGGTTGCTGCTGGTATAAGGAGGGCAACTTGACACAGTATATTATTTTCAATCCTGGCTGCTCGACCAAAAGATTGAACATATTAATACAATTATACTTTGCTAGAATAAGTGTAATTGAGTTAGGGTTTGTACGATTCTAAAGAGTGGAACAGCCTCAACATATAGTGCTGGATTCCACTCACCTGGCAGGTAAAAATGTTTGAACTATGGAAGAGACAGCAGATTGCAACATGTTACCAGCTCGTGTCAACAATCTGAGAGAAGTAAAAATGTGATTTGAGGTTGTAAAAAGGCATAAAAACAAAACCCGATATCAGAGATAAATTGAAACATACATTTTTTTGCAATCACAATATTATAAGCAAAAATGTAATAAAGACATCTACATGTATGTATTATATTTATGTAATCTAGGATATCAGCCTGTCATTGTTTTAAGATAGAGAAATGGTTATTTTCATTTTGCATTACGCAAATGTATTTATTAATTTTACAAATGTGCTATAATCTTCAGCTTAGAATGTATAGTAAATAGTTTCCAAGAAGCCAATTTTACTAGTTACTAGTAAAAACCAACAACTCAGACAATACTCTCAATGTTGATATTTGCAACCATGCAGACATTAAATATTTACATCTCATTATGCTCTTCACAAGACCACACCACTCTCATCTCGGAAAACCACCATTTTAGAATTTTTAGCGACAAATTTTACTGAATTTTAGCTCACCAACTCCCTAAATTAATATGGTTATAGACATGTATTTACAGACCCCTCTGCAAATGTTATACTATAATAAGTATTCAGGTAATAAAAAAATATTTCTCAATATAAAAAAAAAAATCTGTTGCGGCGTTGATTGCCGTCAGCATTTTGTAGCAGCTCATATTTTTATGAACCTGTGGTCTTAGACAAAAAACAATGGGGTGTGGTGAGTTAAATGGACAAATTGAGACTAATACTATATTTTGAAATTTGGTACATTTCTGTTCAAATCAGAAGATGAGAAAATAATTATGCAAATAA